TAAATTAAGAGAATACGAAAATGTAGGCCAGTTTAATATATATATATATATATATATATATATATATATATATATATATATATGCATGTATGTATTGGTATAAATGTAATTTTTGGGTACATACGTTACAGCGTACAAACCTCTTTATCTAATCGGTGAAATTGATGTCCACCGGCCTAGAAATCGTGAAATCCTATTAAAGAAACTCTGCATGAAGACTTCTCTCTGTAAGCCTTGGAAATTAACTCCCCCGTTCAAAACCCCGGAATATCTACTCAAACACATATATCTATAAAATATAATGTCGGATTAAAATATATATTAAAATTTTCTATGTTTATAGAGGAAGTGTGCATGATATTGGAGCGTACTTAGGAATCAACGTTGTATGGAATACCATCTTCAGAATTCAATCAGTGTTGATTTCTATGACTGCTCTCTCTCTCTCTTTCTCTCTCTCTCTTTTTATGTACATATATATATATATAAAGATTTATATATAGTCATCCACAGACAGATTGTTTCGCTGTATCACAGCTCCTCAGTGTGATTAGACGTCCGATTGCTTAGATATCGGACTGATTTGACATCAGTCAGATATTTTACCTCTAGGCCATGGTCGCACGGCCGAAAGAAATACGCCAACGGCTCGGATAACTCAATTCATACTTGAAGAGTAATGCTTAATAGCAGTAGGAGCCGCTGTTTTTAAAACCCCCTTTACCTAGAGAGCTCAAACGGATTTCTGGGAGCATATATTGTTGAATTTTGAGCTCTGAAATTAATAGCTATATAGTTTGTTTAAGACATTGGCTTGGTGGATAAAAAAAATGTTAAATAATCTCAGAGATTGGAAACCCTAAGACAACGATGGAAATCACAAAAAAAAAAATAACAGGAACCACTGAAGTCTGAAGAAGTTCATTAAAAAAAATTATCATTGCCTACTAATATAAATTGCTCTGGAGTCATTTCATCTTCATGGGGCATCGAAAAACTTTTTGCAGCTAACTTTAATTTGAGATAAAAATTCAACGCAATACTACCGAGATAATCCTCAACCTGACTTCCTTCCTCTCAAGGAGTACAACATTTGTAACTTTACTATTGTGACGTCGTCCCCTGGTCGCAGCGCCAACTGTGACGTCCTATCCTGGTCTACCACGGCACCCACTGTGACGTCCTCGCCGCGGCGCCAGCTGTTCGCTCCTCGCTGCTCCGTTCGGGTGTCGCCGCTCCAAACGTGACGTCCGCCTGTCGCGTCAGTCGTGTTGTCTCGTCATGTGACGACCAACTGGCTTGGTATCGGTCGCGGCACCCAAATGTGACGTTCTAACCTTTTGGTGATTCGGGTGGGAATCTGGTTAGATTTGATATCAGCCTCGTCGTTCCCAACTCGCTTCCAACGCCTGGTTACCAAAGTAACTGCATTGATTTCCAGTCTGCCTACCCACGTTGTGAATTGATCTTAGGCAGACGAGATCAATCAGTAGTTGGGGCCGTAATGCAAATCGGGTTCAACGGGGGTGACACCACACAAATATGCATAAAAGAAAATAAAATGAAAACCCAAAAGTTCAAGGTGTCAAAGAAAAGATAACAAACTTTATGTCTAGTTGTTCGATACATAGGACTGCGTCTATCTCCCGACCCGTTCTATGGATTGTGACACGTTGTTTTCCGTTAGGCGAGTTTTAACGCTTCAAGTTGTTTGCTCTTTAAGAAATTGGTTTTTCGGTGTGTCTTCGGACGAAAGTCGAAAAAAAAACTTATTTTGGTGGTCTGGATCTAAGTCGCTCTTCAAAATAATTGTTCTTGGATTGAAGAGGAGTCCGGAATGCGCGTGAATCTTTCAAGTCAGCTATCTGCGAGGCGGAACCAACTTCCACTGCGAGCTTCGAACTCTCTGCTGCAACTCCACTCTGCTGAACTGGAACTCAACTGATTTATGTTTGCTGCGGCTTCGCTTATATGGACGCCGACCAAAACCGGGGTGGGTTTGTCGGCGTCGGGGGTTCCTCGATAATTCTAAATACATATCCACCTCTTTTATTTCTGGTTAGGAATTTTCCACTCTTTTCCATTTTTGGGAGACTTTTCTTACTCCCACCTTCTCACCATACTTCAGAGGGGCGTGAGCTGCCCTCCCCACTTCTTCGTAGCAGCTTCTCATACCTATCTTCTGGATGGGCGGCGACAGCCTCCTTCGTGCGTCACTTGATCCCCACTCGACAAATGGTGTCCTAGTCGGGCGTGGACGAATCCGCGGCTTTGTTTCAGGAAAAAAAAATATCTTGCTTAACTAAAAAAAAAAAATTATCTTTTCTTTTCCTTTTCTTCCTCTTAATCGCAGTTATCATTTTCTCTAGCCGCAAACGACGGTGGTCATAACTCTTGTTCTACACCTGGGCTTCGTCAGTCATCTTATCCTAATTATCAGAATGGGTGGTCTTTCTAACACGACCAGACGTCGCCCCGAAAAGAACATATCCAAATTCCCATTCATTTCCTTTCGGTACATATTTCTGATAACATAATTTTATTATCGCAGGCTAAAGATGTTCCGTCGAAAGAAATCGGTCAGTGGACACATCGTGTTCGGCTTTTGACACAAATTTTTCATATCTATCCAAAGCCCTTTTGTCCACCTGTTTTCCATCACTTATCAAAATAACATTTTCATTTGGATTTTTCTTTGGCCAGCAGTTTGTTTACGCATCCCAGACAACACAGCCGTCGCCAAAACACACCCGATTCCTTTATCCACTCAGAATTTCCCTGTCATTGTAATGACACTCTTTCGCCATTTGTTACTTATCAAAATATCCTTTAACCATTGTCTCTTAGCCGTGGTGTTCTGCTTATCATCTACGTTTTGGGTCTCACCTCTTTTTTTCTCCTACTTTTCTTTCTTTTCTTTTTCTGCTTCGGTAAATGGTGCCACACTATCTCAATTAGTAATGTTTCCAAATGCATTAGAAATCTGATCTCTACAAAGGATACGGGTTCTGAGAAAATCCCTCTTTTTGTTCTCAAGCATGATATCCAAATACTGATTCCAATGTACACATTCTCTCTCTCTCTCTCTTTCTTCTCTCTCTCTCTCTCTATATATATATATATATATAGTATTTACATTAGTCGGACTATTGTCCTCATCTTTGTCGCCATATTTGTCACAACGTTTCGGCCGTTGTACGCTCCGGCCTTCTTCAGGTGGTTGGAATTTCGAACTGAACCCTTTATTTCGATCGCTGGGGTAGACTGTTCTAATTCCACGTGCCATGTTTGATGGATGTCAGTTATCAGTTATCTCCTGCTAATTTTCCCTCTGAAAGTTCTCCACTGCCTTAACCAGGAATTGAACTCACCTTCTTTGGGTCTGTCACTGGATCTAACCAACGCCTTTATCCACTGTGCCATGTGTCCTTGAGGACATCTGGGTATGAACTTATATATATAATTTGAATTTTGAACTTAGGATTATTTACCTGACGTGTTCTTTCCTATTTTTCTATATATTTGCACACACACACACACACACACACACATATATATATATATATATATATATAAACATTAATGTCAATTCAGATGATCTGAGTGCTGACTTCAATGTTCACTTTTATATTTACATACGCTCTATCTCTGATATTGAGCACTTTATCCCATAAATATATCACACGATAAAACTATATTTCTTCATATATATATATATATATATATATATATATATATATGAGAGATAGAGAGAGTTTATGAAAAAGTAGGTAATCCGTATGGGTAAACCCAAGGAGGATAAAATCCAGAGAGCTCAATTTAAATCCAGAGCAAATAATAATTTAAATGTGTCAATGTCTGGACCCCAAGTTATTTTAAGTATAAAAGAATAGAAATTTTAAATTACATCTAACTCACTCATGTCTTCTCTCTCCCCCCTCACTTCCTCACTTCGTTAATTTACATATGCTTAATACGGCCCGTCAAAAATGTGTAAATTTTTTTCATTTTTTTGTTTCAACATTTGGAAGTAAAGTCTGATGATCCGCAGTCCTTTAAAAGGGCTGTGGTGAAATAATTTATTACATGGAACCTTTAAGTGGTCTGTTTTTATTTAATATATATATATATATATATATATATATATATATATATATATATATATATATATGTCATGCCTTTCACTGAAAGTAATGCTAATATAGATGGATGTCTATAAAAGCAATCACTAATTCATGATTCACGCAAAATCCTACTTCAGACTTAATCTTGCTTGGGACTTTAAAATTATTGTAGGTCATAGGACACCATTGGAGAGGCATTAGTTTTTTATAAGCTTCATGTTTATGTCCATTCTTTATGATTTTTACTGTAAATGTGTAATAAAAATACGAGATGACAATTCAAAATGGGAGCGAAATTGAAGTAACCTGTGATTTCACGGAAAGGGCGGGTGTGGGATAATGTAACGTAAAACTCTGAGAATCACTGGAGTCAAAGTCATACAGTATTTCTATTTATTTTGTCATTTAATTCTTTAATTGCTTTCCCGGTTTTAACAAAATATTCGACACTTGAAACGGTTGGAATTTTATATATATATATATATATATATATATATATATATATATATATATATATAAAAGAAGAAAATCGCGAAATGTATGAAAACAGAAATATTTTTTTCACATGCTTCAACCTATCATCTTTACTCAGCAACCTACGGACGTGGCAAAAAGTGAAAGCACACTGAAAACACAGTTATCACAGCGAGAAACACAACTATTAGTTGACCCTAGAGTCCGATACAATGCAACCTAAAATATGATACAGCACAATTAATTCCTAATTTTTTTTAAAAATAAACATTTATCAATAATTAATACAGATTTTATGTGACTAAAGAGAAGAAAATGCTAAAAAAAATGTATTGTCTGATTCTTTGACGTCATGTAGACTCCAAAATAATATCTAAAATGACATTACACGAATTTTTGGCTTATGTCCACGTCACGTTGAAAGTACTGGTTCCTGTACGATTACCAAACTTAAGCAACGTCGAATCTGGTTAGTACTTATATGGGTGACCGCTTGGGAATCCAAGGTGCTGTCAGGTTGGATGTGCGGGTGGTGTAATGGAAAATGACTCCGAATTGGAAAGGGAGAGATGAGTTCCAATTCCAGTCGGGTTTTATAGATTCACTTACGCGCAAGTACTCTTGGGAATGGTATGAATCAACCGCTTCTTCTATCCCCCCCACCCCGCAAACAACTGGTTAATTAGTTTGACTTGTATCAGTAAATCCTTATTATCTCAAAAAAATTATTACAATCTAAAAATATATTTTGGCTTTAAATAACCAGTAAATGATTGATAATCCGTAAAACAATGAATCATCGAGAAATGTTTATCTACAAAGGAAGTGTTATTTAGCGATGTTAATAATGGGATTAACTGTTTCCATGCAAGTGTGACACTATTTGTTACTGGTAATCATAAGAAGTTTTAATGAATAAACCGCGTGGGAAAAATTGAAGATTTTAATTCTCATGTAGAGAGCCATCTGAATTGTGTGTCGGAGTTTTGAACAATGAAACACATAGAGTTGACGCGGATTTGAACTGCGACAGGTCAAATGGCAATAATTGACACATTGGTCGATCACACACAGACACAGCTAAAAGTAGGGGCTATAAATGGGGAAATTTTCTGCATAAACAACGAACTTAGAATTAATCTTTACTGGTCGGAGGATGGCTGAGGTAGCGGGCGCAGATGAGACATCAAGGAAGGTGAAGGAGCTATCCGCGCCCACCAAGGAGCATTAGTGGGAGATGTTAATAAGAGGAAGTGGAAGTTATGAGGCAGAAATGCCTGTAATCATCACCCGTGGGAGAGGGGAATTCCCCGAAATTATGCAGGACTCAGACACTGGAAATGACAGTCAAAGGAAAACACCGAATTCTCCAACTGCGTCGTGCCCTGCGCCGTGCCCTGCGCCGTGCCCTGCGCCGTGCCCTGCGCCGTGCCCTGCGCCGGTTTAGGCGAACGTCAATAAATACGAATGCCCCGAAGCGAGATGGTCAGACGAGCGAGAGCTTGTTCCAGCCACCGGACGCGAGACACTATACGTGATTATCTGTCGACGAGAACCTCCGATATCAGCCTTGAACCGAATTTTACCAAATCAATAAAACAAACTTTACCAAGACAACAAAATATTACGTCCGAGTTAGAAGTGAAATGGGCTGATAATTGTTTACATGCGATCTCATAAATTTAACAACTGTTAACCAATTACTGTACGAAGGACTTGATATAAAAAATAGTATTTCTTTTTTTTTAATTATTCGACTGTTATTTTCTTTCTCCATGCCTTCGACCTGCTTGGAGCAGCCCAATGCGAAGATACCTGACAATTCGATCTTGCCAGCCTTATGATCAAAGCAGATCAGAACGTGGGATAAGACAGGACTTGGATCGAAGCGATCACCTCATCGATCTGCCGCGGTATTGGACGTCATAGACGACCAAGGCGGGTGTAGGACAGCACAAGAAACATTCGCCATTATTGACTGAACAGTTAATGTTACTCAGTCAACTCCACTTAGGTCTTGCTACCTATCAGCCCCAAATCAACTCCGGATATGGTGACCATCTGTTATTATTCATCGGCCTGCCCCGTAGCTTATAGCACCTGGTATTTCATAGCGGTCAACCATCTGAGTAATGACGAGTTTCAACGACTAGTACGTGTTATATTACAACTGATTCTTATAGGGTACCCAATAGAGACGTTGGAGTAAAGAGAGTGTAGGTAATTACCCACGCACCCATGTCACGAGAAAATATGACACAATGTCAAAGATTTAATGTTGGATATCGGCAAAACCGTAAAAATATTACTCAAGCCCCCCTCAGCACGTACCCCCTTTGGGGACGCCTCAGTTAATTATCCTAGATCCCTACGAAGGGAAAGGCGCTGCCTGGGAGGATGTCCCGTCCCCCTGAGCTAATATTATTTAAACCTCCCCGACAGGCGCGATCACCTTCGCGGGGCGGGGGTAGTATAAAATAGTGAATAACTAAGCATAGCGCAAGGCCGAGAGTAGGGAGCATCCAGTCAGAGTCCAACTCACTAAGTAGTAATTGATCTAGCGAGACAAACTTGCTAACCCTGAGGACACAACGAAGAACGAAGTGCCCCAACAAAAGAGGTTGTGTAAGAAGTAAGGAAATGTATTATACCAAACATGAAATCGGATTTGCTTGTCACTTGCCTGAGCACAGCCAGTAGGATATGTCTCTTAGGCGATGGCGTTCTGTGTATCTCTGTTCATGAGCGGGAGTATTGGGTGTCGAGAGGGTTGTTCTGTTAAGCTTGAAGGAAGTGGCAGCTAGGATGACCGTTTTAAGACAATGATATAACCGGCAGTAACACGAACTGCTTGCGACCAGATCACGTTGAGATAAGGGTTCTGATCCGAGCATCGCCTTATTTCTTACACAACCTCTTTGCTGGGGCACTTCGTTGTGTCCTAAGGGTTAGCAACTTTGTCTCGCTAGATCAGTTACGACTAAGTAGTGAGTTGGACTTTGACTGAGTGCTCTCTGTTCTCTGTTCTCAGCCTTGCATTACGCTTAGTTAATCCCTTCGTAGCGTTCTGGAATAATTACCCAACGCCTGAGGCGTCCCCAAAAGGAGTACGTGCTGAGGGGGCTTGAGTAACATTTTTACGGTTTAGCGGATATCCAACATCTCCTTCGACATTGTGTCACCATTCTGTCGCGACGTGGATGCGCGGGTAAATACCTACACCCTCTTTACTACAACATCTCTATTGGATACCCTCTAAGTATCGGTTGTAATATAGCCATCTTTCTTAAAATACCTACTTAATTGGGTTTAATATCAGTTTACTACAGTAGGTTACGAGTTCGAATCGCGTCGTGGCCACCACTTGTTATGACTCTGAGTAAATAATTATAAACCCCCTTACATTTATATATACAGAATACATTTAAAAATGCCAAACAGCAAGACGTGGAAACAACAAAATGAGTATTATTTAATATCTGGTTGTTATGTGGCGTTAGAGTCACGAGAGATAGTAAAACTGGGTAAAAATGTGAGTTCAGGGTCAAATGTAGATCAAATATGGATCGGAATCCAACAAAAGGATAAGATAAAGAATAAACAAAGTGTATACAGTCTTCCCCGAATGTTTTCTTTAATTTTTTTTTTTTAAATTATAGATGTGTGTAATGAGTGTCCAGATAATTGAGTTGGAAAAATACAAAGGTGACTGGAGTTTTCTGAACTCGAATTTTTGTTGAGTGCTAAGAGATAAATGTTACTGTTATAACCAGAAAAAGGAAAAGGAGAATAAATTTTCGTTGACGCAAGTGTTGACGGCATGTCCGTGTTGACTGCTTGTCCAATAGTAAAAATTTCACGTGTTTGTGTTTGTACAGAAGAAAAGTAGAGTCGAATGAGTGAATTAATGATAATTATAATGGTTATAATAATTTTATTATAATTATTTTTGACACTATAATTAATTTTTATTTCTTTTTTATGGGCACAACACATACATACATACATACATACGACACGCCATACAATTTAGAGTACAGGCAAAATATTTCTAGTGATAGGGGAAATAAAATATCAAGAATTTTATAAAATTGGGTCTAAAATTTATCCTGACATGTTCCACTAATCAATGTCTGCGTTGACAGCAAAAGAAGTATAAAAGTTATTTTCTGTATTCAGGAATATAACCAAAGCTTTCTGAAAGGACAACGGATCCTATGTATAAAATATTGTATACAAACATCGTCACATATATATATATATATGTATGTGTCGATGTTTGTATACATGATGTGTCGATGCTTGTATATATATATATATATACACACACACACACACACATATATATATATATATATATATATATATATATATATATATCGATATAGGTGGAGTCCATATTGTGGCTTCAATGTTTAAACTTTTTCGCGAAAAATTATACAAGAAAATTCTTCTGACAGCTCAATACCAAGTGTCAGCAATTCAATGCGTGAATAAAACCATTTAAAATAAAATAAAAAGTGAAAAGTAAGTCTACCACACGCGACTAAATATGTTTATTTACCTCCCTTTATCAGTTAACTCCCCTGTTTCCTCTTTTTTGCCTTGGAGAGTATAGGTTTCGTAATACATATGCACCTGCAGTTAAACAGATATTTAATCCTCTAACTTTACATTCTTGCTTATGATATCAAGAAACACGTCAACGAGAGTTCACACGAGAACTCACACGAGAACTCAACCGTCCTGTCAGAGGAGACATTATAATATCACCAACAGGTGCAAAGTATTCCTTTTTTTTTCCCTTCTGTTACTGTGTGTTGTTTATTATCTATAGCGTCTCACTTTCCATATAATTACCTCTTCACAATATTTGCGAATTTAAACCGTTAAAAAATAGCAATGAACAAGAAATCATTACACTTGTGACTCAATCCCAGGCGTCAGAGAGTCATAGATCGTTAATCATAACTTAGATTTCTTACCTAACCAACCGACAGCTTCAAGGTTTTAAATTTTCCTCGTTCAATCCATTATTTGAGTCTACCTTCCTCGCACATAAAAAAAATGAATCTCAGAAACAAACATGGCAATTTTCAGAACAGTTTACAGTGACAATCTCCTAAGTGTAAGAACGGCATATCATGTGAAGCGAGGAATAGTCACTAATGAAGACAGACATCTTGGAGACGAACACCAAGTTACTTTTTGAATTTTAAGCATCTTTGATCTTAACAAAAAAAAAAATTAATAAAACATTTTTAACTTGTTTTTCCCGAGGAAAATAGATTAGGTTATTATACGAATTATTTATTTTCAGGAAAGGTTTCAGTGACCAAAATATTCTAAATATAGCCGACTATATATATTTTCTATGTCAGATTTAATAATGTTTATACATATTAAGACTGAAAGCCTTACAAAAGTACTTAATTTTAAGTGTAATTCAAGAAGTTTAAAGAATCGGCTTAGAATGACAAATGCAAAAGTGTTTGGAAATAATTCCACTTTAAAGAACGCACTGATCTTTCAGCTACAAATCACTTCCGATAAAGCTGAATATAAATTACCAAACGTTACTGTGAAATATCGACCAAAATTCATACTCAACAGGAAGAGAAAACTCTGATTTGGAAAATATGATAGGAAAAATCAGCCCTCGCTTAACATGACGTTCTTGGTTATCGAGCGATTAAGCACGTCAGATCAAAAGGTGGTTTCCCCTACAAAGAGGGACGCAGTTTCGATGTCTGCCGAAGAACGCTTTTTCTTGACTAATATTTCTCGAATGCACGGGCCATTTGACGTAAAATACACTGTTTAATAGATAAAGTTTAGGGGGTCAACTTCAAATACGACATAGCCACTCTAATAATGCTTGAAGTAATAAAAATGTCGACTTAAAAATAAATCAATTAGTTGTTTAGAAATTGTTTTGTTTATGTTTCATATATATATATATATATATATATATATATATATATATATATATATATATATATATAAAATGTTGGTAAATCAAATCAGGGAAAGTGAAAACGACAATCAGTTTCATATTCGTTTATAATTTTTATGGAAATATTTCGCCTTCGAGAAAATAAACTTATGTAGTGGAGGCGAGTGATTTGAGTGAGCGACTAACAAAATCAGAATGAAGTTGCGAAGATATTTACATTAAGTGTTGAGCATCAGCTGTTGCAAAGATGGTCCAGTTTTGCATTTTATGTACATTATCAACCGATCACCCACATTAGAGACAATTCTCTCGCTGTGCCTAAGAAACAGGATCGGCGTATGCCTGTCAAAAATTACCCAGTATCTCGCAGAGCTCCTGGAAGTATACATGTAAACACTCGACCAAGTGCATATATATATATATATATATATATATATATATATATATATATATATTAGGAACTTTGATTTATCGCTTTCTGTCGACATTTCAGGCGAGTTTGTAAAATAGAAAAATCTGCTACGACAAAAATGTATGAGAGATGTTTCAGACATCGTTTTCACCTAATTCTTAGTATAAAAAGCAATCAGAATAGGTTTAAATTGGTAAATACTTTCAATTATGACGACAAAAAAGTAGTTTAAGCTATGAGCACTATTATTATTATTATTATTATTATTTCTTTGGATTTCTGTTGTATACACATTTCCTTCCGAGTCCCAACCAGAAACCTAAAGCCAGAAATGGCTTCATGACATTCTTGTAAAAAAAAAAAACTCTAAGATCACAGACATTTTAGATAGATAAAGCTGCCCGTAATGTGTGAGCTGTACGTGTGAATACAATGTTTTGTATTTCTTTAAGGCATGGGCTACCAGGAATCCCTTCAATAAGTCTATTGGGACATTTTCCAATCAATCCGAGGGCTCCATCTACAACTGCAATTATTGATGTCCTCATGTGCCGCATTTTTGTGATTTTCGCTTCAAGATCCTTGTATTTTTGATAGTTTTTTTTTTGAAGATCTTCAAAGAAGATACATTACAATCTGCAGGGACTGCCATGTCGATAAGAAAACACATTCTATTATTATTATTATTATTATTATTTGATATCCTCTCCGCTTTTTAGAAGTTACGAATTGTTGATAAGGATCATCCTCCAGCTTTTACCCGCGACTTAGAGAGCCAATATTTTCCTCAATTGTCCAAGTAGTGGTGCCACTCACTCACACCGAATGATGTCAGGTATCCCTAAAGCGTCTTCCAGGGCATAATGATACGTGTACGTAGTCCTGAGGGCTCCAATCACAAAAGGGAAGACGGGAGCAGCTTTTTGATCCATTTATCTGATTTGTCTGAAAGGTTTTCGTACCTCTTCATTCTTGCCGCACCATTATTATTATTATTATTATTATTATTGTTGTTGTTGTTGTTGTTGTTGTTCCTATAAAGGAAGGAGAGAAATAATATGTTGATATGATGATAGTATCACTATTATTATTATTTTTTTTTTATTAGTATTAAGCTTACAAAATATGTGCCTCACATACGACAGAAGTTGCCATTTTGGGCTGCAAATCGTAACCAGCTCTATTCAATTTTGAATTAACTTTCTTATTTTCATTGGTAGACTATTTTTTTTATATTTAAGTTCAAGGCTCGAGAGCTCCTCAAGGCTGAGGGTTACTGTTAAAATCGTTATCATGAACGAGGAGCGTAATATGAATGAAAGAGATGATGGTAGGAATTGAACATTATAAGGATAAGAATGATACATAACGATTAACCCTTGACTTGAAAATAGTATATTGTTCATGGAATCATCCTCTCAGTGAGTATCAGTTCTTAGAAAAAGTTGCGTAGATATCCTTCTTTATATTTGGCCTACGGGGGAAATAAAGGTGATTCACCTCGACGGAAGTAGCATTGCTTAGCCTTGCTGTA